TCTGGGCAATATTTGTTTTTTGATAAATGTTTCAAAGAGATACTGTCATGTGACCCTTGGGAAGTCTTTGTGCCTTATTTTTGTTTTCCTCCTAATTCTTTTCAGCTAGACGTTTCTAGTATTTCAATGTAGGCATAGAAGGCTTGACTGCAGATGCACAGGAGTTTGCCATGTTAGCCGATATGCCTAGTAACTTTCCTCACAGAATGAGTAATAAATGAAGGAAGACCCTCTTCAGGAGGGGATAATGTAAACTGGGTGTGGACTTTCACTGCTGGAAATAAAAAAAAGCATTTGTAAAACTTACACTGAAAAAAACATAAAACCCATTTCCTAAATTATTCTAAGTAATTAAGTAAAAACATCTAAGTGAAATATTGTGTCACCAAAAAAATGTTGCTTTTTAGGACTGAGGACATAGGACTAAAACATTACTGTGTTACTGCTTAACAGCTTGCCTTATCATTCCTTCAAACCCCTGGGATATCAGGCCATTACTGGTATTATTTGCTAATTTTAAGTGGACGTATGTGCAGATAAGAGAATAGTTGTTTATTATGTAAAATACAGTAATATGAGAGTGATGTGAACTTTGAACATATGTAAAAAAGATTGGCTGCATTATATTTGACAAGAATACCAAATAGAAAGTCTTTGTTGCTGATAAGAGAGACCTTGTCAGATCCTGGAGGGTGTTTTTAATCAGCAATACCTGCAGGCTTCATTATAAGAGTGCATGTAAATCTTCTGTTCTTTGTCCATTTCTTATTAATTAACAGTTGTGCTACAAACAATTTGAGCATTGAATTCTAATGAAAGCATCTTAAATGTTAAGTGTCTTACATTGCTGAATATTTAACTGCACTCCACCAAATAGAGATTAACAAAATGTAGCATTTGTTGCTAAAATGATTGATTAGTAGTATTGAAAAAGTACAGTAATTAAACATTGTAACAACTGCCTCATACACTAAAATAGTATGATTTTTAAAAGAATGTTTTTTTAAGATATACTTATCGCTATTTTTTTTTCTTTTCGCATACAAAAATCCTGCTTATAGCATCTAATGGTTCTGTTCCTTTGTAACCCAGTCGCCTGTTTCTATTATCTGTCTTTTGAACTGTTTTTGTATCTGATCAGTTCCACCTAATATGTCTCTTGATTTGTACCATTGTAGTACTCAGACAACATGCTGTTCTCCTCATTTTTATAAGCTTTTCGATGCTCTTGCCTGTCATACACTGGCAGTTTATCTCTGGCGTCTGGATTTGCTTTTAGACTTGTGTGTCTATCAAGCCACAGTACCTTTGAATGCAAGATCAAAAGATGAATTCCAAGGGAAAAAAAAAATCCTTGTATGAAGAAAAGAGTGGGTGCTATGTAAACATCCCAGTGACAGCTCACAATGAGTTATTTTAGGGCAGCATTAGCGCACAGAATGACAGGCAGCCACAGACTACTTGCTAAACAACAAATCAGACCCCTTGCACTAGTCTGATTTTTGCCTCGGTAACAATGCATTTGTTCACAGAATTCTGGGGAGGGTTTTCTTTGTTTTCGCGTGTGAATTATTCCAAAGCCATGTAACGTTTCCTTGTAGCATCTACATCATCTGCTTTCTCCGAGAGTTTGAATTTGAAATGTAACCCACACACTAGTCGCAGATAGTTTGGAAGGCACACCCAAGAGCATGTATGCAAGCTCGTTTATCTTATTTTCCTGCTACCCTAAGCGTTTTGAAGCCACTCAAGAGTTTTGGTTCCTCAATCTTGTTTTGTTTCCACATTTGTTAATTATTGGGGTGTGTTTTTTAATGAGCTTTTAAAGTTGGATATGATTTCTTCAGGTTTTGGTTCATCATTGGAGGGGCATGATTGCAATAATTGTTTTAAGTGGTTTATTTAAAAACAGTAAGAAATGTGAACTGATCAGTAAACTGTTGTTAGTATCTGTTCTCCATCAGACAATGTACTCTCTGCTAGTAGGAAGACAGGGCTCCTTCAGTGGCCTGGAAAGGGCAGTGTTCCAGTACATTTTCATTTCAGAATGTGCTTCAGCCACACAGCACTTCCTGTTTATTCAAATATCTTTCCCTCATATTCTTGAAACCCCCACTTCATTGAAACAGCCAGATCACAGCTTCAGCGCAAGTATCAAGGCAAGAGTGTGGTATATTCCTCTGTCTTTAATCTCTTGTTCATTCTGAGATGTAATTTTTTCAGATATTCTTGGAAGAATATTTTCAGCACTCAACAGTACTTTTCATTATCTGAGAGAACACCGTTTTAACAGCTATAACTTGATATCTTTCTTTTACAGCCTGGGGTTGTGTGTACTTTTATGGCTCAGAAAGTTATTTTTTTCTTTATTTGAAAGAAATACCTACTTCCGTATTCCCCGTTAAGCTGAAAATGCTGAAATAAGCAACTAAATATATTTGAGGTGCACTTTGATAGTATTTAGCTTTGGTTTTTACAAAACTGTCATAAAACAATGTCAAAATGAAAGGCCGTGTTCCTTTCTGACGGATGTAAAAGTATTTTAATTAGAATTAGTGTTAAATGTCAAGTTTTGATGCACATGTAATTTAGCACTATATTTAGATTGTGTTTTTATCGTCTATGCTGCACAATTTCTTTTGATTGCTCATTTTGCGTAGGAGTGAAAAAACTCATACTGTCCACTAGTTAAAGCCACATAAAATGGCCCTTTTGACAGTGAGCTCTATGGGGGCTTTCCCATTTGAGTTCTCATTTCAAAGTCAGGAACCTTGCTACTGTGCGTGTAGTTACAGCTTATTTCCAGTGGCTTTTTCATCAATGTTCCAAAATTACTTTTTGTAGGTCAAATATTGCCTCTCTGATCAAATCAGGCTTTATCAGATCTTACTTAAAATCATGACAGCATGTTCTGATTCGTTATCAAAATGTAAATAATTTCTACTTTAAAGGAGCGAATTGTAGAATTATATTTTTTTGATCTTTCAGATTTTTTTTCATTGTCTTTTCAGATTTCTTACTTTCAGGTGTCTGCAGTGGGGCAAATTAGTGTTTGACTCTTATTCAGGATTCTGATCAAGACAGGAGGTGAAATGTTTATAAACCAAAGAAAAGGAAATGTTCTAACAGATAAAAAATGGGCTTGGAGAGAAGCATTAATGTGATCTACATCTTTAGTGAAACGTTGGAAATCATTGTAAATAAACGTATTAATTTCCTAAAACAGTTTATTGATAAATCAGGGTAATCAGTTTTGTTAAGGAGTGTCCTTAAAGTGAAAATTGTAAATTTAACTGAATTCCACATATCCTCTGTAGTGTTTATTTTTGAGGAAACGTTATTAATTCTCAATTAAACAGATGAATGGACACTGATTGTATCTTTGTGTGGAGGGTAATTTTTGCGATTTAAATATCTTATCTGTTGTGTAGCGAAGCTGTTTGCCCAAAATGACTACTGCATGTCACCCAGAAGGTGCTGCTCTTCAGTAGTGGATGAAATAGTGCTCTTTTATATGTAAAGTGTTTTAGAACCCTTTAGGATGAAAAGCGCTATATAAAGGCAATTCATTAATTTATCTAATTTATTTACATACTTTTACAGTGCATCTGTAAAGCTGTCTTTACTGTAAAGTCCAAAAATCTCGTCAAAAGAGGAAATATGCTTTTTATTTAGCTTCCTGCTCCTTTTTCAGATAGTGCTCAGTGGAACCTACTTATGAATTTTCCCACCTCAGAGACTCAGCAGCTTTCGCTGTATTTTGTAGCGCAGATCCCTGCTTTGAGTGAATGCTGGAAGACTGGCCTCAGTCTGTAGCCTGTGGTCATATTCCATCCTAACATGAAGCTCTATGATGTAATCCCACAAAACCTTCTGATGCAGAAGGTCAGCACACTACCGTACAGCACAGCTGTGTCTCGCAGCCACAGAGCTGTCTAGGTCTCTTGTAAAGAGTTTTGTTATGAAGCTTTACGATCTTGGAAAACGTTGAAAGCTTTTTTTTTTTGGTTCTCCTCTAGACGCTTTTTTTTACTGGATAGCAATGGGCAGTTCTTCAGAAATCCATTCATTTAATTAAAGAAAATCATGTATTTCGTAAAAAAATGTTTGGATCTGCCTCTTGACTGTTTGTTTAATTGTGGGAGTAATCGTTTGTGGAACATGGAAAGAATGAGTGACGTTATTTACTCAGATGGTTTACTGGTGTAGGTGTGAGGCACATAACTTGCTGTGGGAACAGTTGGTTGCTTTTCTTGGTATCTGTGTCGTTTTGATGACCATTATTTTTCTTGTTTGTTCTGGATGGCATGTTTGATTATTTATCGTAAGGGAAAAGGGAGTAGCTGAAGCAATAAACATGTGACTGGACTGGATTTTGTTTTCCATTGAGAAGGCCACGTCCTTTAACAGAGATTTTCAGCAGTAATAAACGATTTTTTTCTTTGCTTTAAAAGGAAGTGAAAATCAGAAAATAGTATATGGTAATTCTTGTGTCTGTTGCAAGTGCAAAATATGCATAATGTTTGTAATTGTGGTTCCTGTTGGTCTAGAGATTGTACGACTACACGTATTTTGGCAAAGAAAGGAATGATGTTTAATAATGTAATTTATCTTTAAACTATTTGCTATGGATATGGTTTTTAACAGTTACTCTTAGAAGAAGAAACTGCTTAAATTGGTGCTTATCAGCCCCCTGACTATTAACATACATAATTCTTTCCTCACATGTAGTAGCTGTTCTGTTAACTTCTATGTTTTATGAGAACACAATTTCAGCAGAGATAACAGAGGAAACTATGTAAATATATTCTAAGGAAACCAAGATGGAAAAATTGTCTGTTTTGCTCACAACACAGTGTGAGTTGTTTTGTTATTTATCGACGGCCAAGAACAAGTTGTTATTTAGGCTACATCTGTTGTGTTACAAAGGAATGGAGTCCCATGAGAAGTGTTCCAAACAAAATATTAAAATGTCCTGCCTTTTCTTCATCCTTTCTCAGGCCCTTCAAGTTGCGCGACAAATTTTGCTGCACCAACAGCACCAGCAAAGCAGTGGGTTGAAGTCGCCCAAGAGCAATGAGAAACAGACAGGGCTGCAGGTAAGGACCTCCGCCTTCTTTCAGATTAAAAGGAGCCGGCAGTTCTGAAAGTTTTAACTGCACCGCATTTCATCCTTCTCTGAATTTGACCATTCATAATGCAAATCTTGAATTGCGAAATGGAAAACATCTCAAGTTTGGGGCAAAAATAATTAGCATTTCATATCTCTGTGTGGAACATTTAAATTCTCAAAACTAGGCTGTTCATTTTTTTTTCTTATTTGTTTGCTGCATGCATTCTATTCTTAGGACAAAGTGTACAAGAAAAAAAGTGCATAAACAGGAAATCAAGAAAAAACTATACTAAGCTTGTGTGTTTGATCATAACTCTATTACATAGTAATCTTTTTTTTCAGATTTGAAGTATGCATTAGGGATAGTTTACCTAAATAAAAACAACACATTTACCTTCAGTGCAACGATTTAAAAAAATTAATTTGTTTTACCATTAATATATGCAGTATTCAGTATTTTGCCTTACAACATACAGTACGTTTCTTTTACAGTTGCCAAGAAACATAATAATTCCGGGCAACCCTTCCACATGTCATGTTTACAAATGTGACATGTTGTGTGGTATTATTTACTTTGAAAGAGTAGAAGGTATAATTATTTTTTTTCTGTGTGGCCCCTCAAGTTTATATGTATTGTTTAATTCGTAGGCAACACTGCAGAATTTAAATGGTGACAAAGCTCTTAACTACACTTCAGTGCTTCATCATAAAGTAAATATGTCGCGAACACCTTTTTGTTTTGGTTCCTACAGTACATCCAGAATATCCCAGGTGATGAGTGGAATGGGAGCAGGATCTGTTGAGCCTTCTTTCACTTAATTTTGCATTTCTGTGGCATGATTTACATGAATTCAAAATTAAAGCAACAATAATAATATGTAAACATGTTATGATTACATTTAACGTTTCAAAATCATTATTATTTTATTATTCAGTATTATTATAGACTAAAAGTAATACCTTGCATGTTTTAGTGGTTTAGATAGGAACTATCAGAACCTGACAAATTCTCTTTAGGCCGGAGATGATTTTAGAACAATAGCCTGCCAATTGTAGTTTTGACATTAATAATATTTAAAGGTAACACGTTGTGCTAGAATTGTTATGTCCATCTGCAGTCTTAACATTTGTGTAGTTTTTTAATCTCTCTTGACCTGGGGAAATTGAATAGCTGCAGCTACTCAGTGAATATTGCCTCAGACAGCAGGGGGCACTGTGGAGCAGGGAAGAGAGATTGACTTGAGACAGTGATCTTAACATTGGACCTTAGGGTGTACAAAGGTTCTGTCTCTCTTTGAAGAAATATATATCAAAACAGTATGAAACAGATATGTATTTACTCCTGCTAACATATTTACAGTTGTTTAAATTACAGTATTTTCAGTATTAGAAAGTGGTTTACCAATGACAATAAAAAAGAATGTACATCAACTTTAGAGCATAAGGGTTGTATGATAGTGAATAAATGTAAATGTCTGGAGGGCATTTTTGGTAATTAATACCACAGCCTGATATATATAATATTTAATACGCTTTTTCCCATAGGGAGCATTTTTTAATGAGGTATTGTACCAGCTAGGTCTAATGTCAGGTACTGAAAGACGTTCTTTGTTGTGCAGATGTCTTAAGAATAGCGCCAGAGGATGAAATATGACTGTGTTGACCTTTCAGTTGTGAGCTTATTTGTCAGGATTCAAATAAGTTGAAAGGATCAAACTAAACAGTTTCCATAGTCAGGCTGGGGATTGTGAAGCAGAGGTCAACAGAGGAGGCCACATCGCAGATTCCTCTACACAGCCAGTTGTTGGTACATATTGAAGTACTAGAGCATCTCCCGCAGACAAAGACAAAATTAAAATTCTAATTTATTAATGTATACAGAGAGCTCGCCCAACCTGTCACTCAGCTATTGAAAAGAAAGCCTAGTCGTTTTTTTTAGCCTCTTGTAGCTTATGAGCCTCACAAGTTCAATATAGCATCTAAATAAATTGTAAATTGCTCATGCTGTAATGATACACAGTATGTTATAGCCCAAGCTGTTAAAAGTTTTTTGTTTGAGTATCTGTGCTGTTTGAAAATCACAAGTTGAATCTTTTGTTGTATATTTAATCACAGTGTATGTCTTTGAAGTATTTACTGAAAGTTTAAACACTATTCTTTTGGATGACTATAAAATAGAAAAGAAGTGAAAATAGCAGAAGGGTATTATTTGTTAATATTCTCTCCCTCTTTCGATCTGGAGTTAACTTCGGTTTTTGAAAGCCTGTTCCTGTGATGATAATGATTGCTGGGCTTGCATATGTGCTCATTAAGTTATAAAATATTAAAGTTTAATTCACGCTATTTTCCAACATGTAGTTTTCAGAAAATTTGTAGCATCAATTTAAATTACAGTACAACCTTTGTAAAAAGTCCAGTCAAATACAGTATATGTTTTGAATCAGTTTTGATCTCGAAAATGACCACGACTGGTCAAAATGACAAACAACATTTGTCTATTTGATGTGAGCAATGTGCCAGAATTCAAGTATTATATTATGAATTTTGGATGAGAGATATAAATTTTGGGAGAAACCGTTGCAGATCAGCTGCAAGTGTTAAATCAAGTCTTATAATCTATGATTGAATAAAGATAAAAAAGATAAAATATGTGACAGATAAAATTTCTGGGCATCTGAGAGATTCTGGCCCTGTTGTTTGAATTAGTATATAACAAGTACTGTATGCAATTGTCTACAAAACTAAAGTTTATGTAATGCATATACTGTATACACACCACACATAGATATCTATTTTGAAATTTATAATTTTGCTACCTGACTTCTTTCATTTTTTTCCGTGAATTATTTGTGCACAAATGGAAAATTGTTGTATTTCAGTTTTGAGGTGATTAATGCGTAAAATATCCAGTAGGTGGTATTGATGTATATATTTTTTTTAAATCTAAGTGAATAATCTTAAATGACTTAATCATTTTCACCACAAAAAGTTTTTTTCACAATAAGATATTTGGGTGGGCATTCCTCTCTAGAGTGTACTGGAAATGATCAGACAGCCTTAGAAACACCCCCACCTGTTTAGCATTCTTACTGGGAGTAAATAAAACCATGAATGCTTAAATTCTGCTGAGAGGTTAGTAAATGAAATGCACTTATGTATAAAAAAAATAAGTTGATGAAGTGGAAAAATGATATTGAAAAAAATTAGTGAAGAGCACATAAAAATGCATCCATCCAAAGAGATTGACTTGTAGTCAGCTTTAAATTGCAGTTTGGTTTTGTTTTTTAAAAGAGGGTGGTTTCAGTGGTCATAATTATGTAAGAAAAGTTTAATTTAGAGCTGCATATGCTTTTGCTTAAGGCATTTAATTTCACAAAATATTAGAACAGCTGCAGTGGCAGCTGAGAATAGCTAAACATACTTGACTGGTCAAAAGTGAGTAAATTACTGACAAAATGACACATGTAATTAGGAGTGTCCCTGCCACTTTACCTCATGGTTTACACCTACAATGCTGGAAAAGAGAGAGTGACTCCCACCTCGCTAATTACCATTATCACTGAAATGGTAGGGTTTGAGTCATTAGTTCCATGTGCATTTAATTAGAGGCCGGCTGAAATTGGATTTAACTTATTACTTTTTCATGGATCACTTTCTTGTCATCGCTTCAAATTGGATTGCAGCCCCAGGTAACTAATTACGAGAGCCACAGGATCAAGAGTGAAGGAATAGGTAATTAGGAACAACACTGTCGGACCCTTGCTGGTAGTCCACTGGCACTGCGGAAAGAAAATTAGTCTCGTTTGTAGCAATGCTGAGAAGCTGGAGTGTTTAACTATGCCACTCTGCTAGGAATCATGGGAAGATTCCTGCCACCTATAGTGGATTACGTGATGCGCAGCTGAGCTGAAGATGTTATGTCAACATGGTTCCACAGTCATAAGCTTAATTCCTAGATTAGACTAGTAAATTCAAGATTGGTAGTATTAGAACAGTTAGTTTTTATTCATTTGGGTTTTTATTTCCATTTGTCCCGATAATGGTTGCACATAAAAGAAAACAATCTCTTTAAGACGTGTATCTATTGAAAATATAAATTCAACTACACAGATTACTTCAGTGTAAGAAAGCATAATGCAATAGCAACCATTTCTGTATTCCTGGTTTGCCTAGTAAATCAAAAATAATGATTCAAATGTGCACTCCACTGGTTGCCAAAAAACAAAGCCACAAAAATGGGGAGAGGAAAATGAAATTGCAGTGCTTGAGGCGTCATCTCTGAGGCTATTACAAAATACTGCCTTTGTATGATTTTATTTTTTCCTTTACTTGTTAGTATTACACGATTACCAGCCTTTTAAAATTAGGTGAGATTAGAGTCAGTCAGAGACCAAATCAAAGTAAGGTCATCTTTCCTTCACATAATTAAGTGCATTTTTGGCTTAATCTTGACTTCAGCAAAACAGCTCACATTCATTTGCTTCCTGTTTTGTGTTCACAAATATACAGAAATAAAATGAAGTGCATAAAAGGGGTTAAAAAAGCCTAAGACTACTACTGTAGCCTGTCGGTTCAATTGGGGAAAAACACTGCTTAATGTTCTCAGTATAACTACTGAAGATCTTTTGAAACCTCTTTACAGAAAAGACTTAGAGCAAGCTTTTAACTTCTTAATTTGTTTATATACTGTATGTGTATCTGTGCATATAGGTATGTGTGTAAATGTATATATTTCCACCCCTATTACTGGTTACAAAGAGGGCATTTGCAGGTCAACTGATGGTGTTCTTTCTGTTTTCCACATTTTAAGTTGGCAGTAGAAGATTAAAGTAAATGCTCTTTTTTCTTTTATTCCAACTGTGTAGCAGTTTTTGACAGATTGCAAAGGGTGTGCTTTTTTCTGTCAGTGAGGAGAAATCACTGTTTTGAACTACTGTTTCTGTTATAGACCATGGCATTGTCCTGACACATGTACACCAAAGCACT